GAGGTGGTTCCTGTCTCAATAGATATTCAAATTATATTAAAAAATTTAGGTAAAACCTGATGAAATGTATATTAACAAGGAGGAGATGAATATGCCTGATTTGAAGAATTCAAAGAATTTACAGACTCCTGTTCACTGGAAATTCATCTAAAGATTATATATTTAATTTATGTTAAGCCCATTATTTTTACAAATAGCCTTACAAACAGCCTTTAGGGAATATAACCTTTTAGTAACCACACCACCATAGTCTACGTTAGTACAAAGAAACTGGCTTCCCACATCACAGCTGAAATCAACACCCTAATTCAGAACCACTAACCAGACCTTTTATTTCAGAGAGGCCCCTCAGACAGGAAGCATATTCTGTGTATTCTCCCCTCACCCTAATTCTACTACTGATATTTCTTTTCAGTTGATTTTACTGGGATACTATAGTACTATAGTTGAACAGAAGAATAGATATGACCTGGGTCCAGAGCCCTCAGTGATTACCCAGGACGCTGGACTCTCATATAAACAGATCTCGGTCTCCACCCAGCACTATTCCAAGCCCTCCCTTCCAACCTGTGCCCCAAACTAATGTATATCTGGCCTTCTCCACCCTATTGCCCAAAGTCCTCTTTGATTGGAATGGCTTGCTCAACCCTACCTTAACACCTCTTCTCTTTTTGGAATCTACTCAAGTCTTACCTTTAGTAATGATGACTTTCCTAATGCCACTAACCCACCTTTCCTGCCTGTAACTTGTCTCTATCATCGATTTAATGTGTAACCACTTGGCCTATAGGACCTGTCATCTTATGTATGTAGTATTTTTTCAATATGTCTGAAAGTGCCTTAATACCTAAAACTAGTGCGGTGTATTATTTATGCTCGTACGTTATCCCTCGATCCTTCCAAGAATCTTGAGATATAGTAAAGCAGATATTATAACAGTTATTATTTCCATTTTTCAAATGATAAACTTGAGGCTTAGAGATGTTAACTAGAAGATAACTAGAAAGTAACAAGATGGAGATTTGAACTGAATTCTGTCTACTTACAAATTTGTAACTACTTTCTAATATAACTAAAATGACAAAGAGGTTTGCTTCATCTCAAGTCCAGTTCCAAGAGATTGGTTATAGCTGCCCAAAGTGCTGTGTCGAAAG